CCGTTTATTTTTTGGCGGCACCATAGAGTTCATGTTCTAATGGCTCTCTTCACTTCCCATTTCATTCCGGTTTTTCGTTGTTCGAACAAAAATTAGAAAACATTTGATAAAAAAATGTGTTGAATTGTCATTTTGGTATTTGTTGGAAAAAGTCATTTTGCATCAAGTGGATAGCTTAGCTTTTGCAATAAATCTATGTTCTATTAAACTAGTTGACAAGGGAAAAACCTCGGTGCCCAAAGAAAATTGCACAAATGGGATTAATGAGCTCCACCATTCAACTCCTGGGAGCCGGATTAATTATTTTGAAACCTTTTCTTGTTAGAAACCCAATCCATGTGTGTCTGTCTAGGGTTTAGAGATCAAAGATTTGTAGGAAATTAGAGATTGGAATGGGAATTAGGGAATTTGATGTGATCCTGGATCGTGGGTAAAAACCATTCCCATTGATGTTCAAAAAAGAAACTAAGTCAAGGGAAGAAGAAGCTGGAAATTTGGCTAAGTCTGAAAACAATCCATGGGATTGGATGAGAAGATTGAAGCTTCCTGGACACCAAATGAGAAGCCTAAAGATCATATGATGATCAGGAAAAATACCCTATCAATTAGGTTAAATCCCATATAGGGAATCTGAGGTTCGAGATAGGGTATTTGGGTCAGAAGGACCCCCCCCCCCGGTAAGGAGGGTTAAAATACTCTATAGGGTATTAGATGGTCTCGATAGAGCATTTTTTGGCTGGCAATTTTGAAGTTAATTTTTTTTATGATTCTTTTTCCTTTTCTGTACTTTCATTAGTTTTATTTTCCAAACCTATTTAAAGGATTGTAAAATCTATTTTGGGAGATGGGTGTTGAATAGAAAAAAAAAACCCTTTTCGGTTCATTGAGTTTTTGCTCTTGAATTTTGTCCTTGTTTGTTGGTAGATCTCCAGCATTCGAGTGAGCTTTGTATCAATCAAGTGTTCCCCTTGATTTTGGTCGAGTTGCTACCCATTATATTGTTCGAGCCTGATGGGCCCACGTGGTTGAGCAGAATCAGGCCTGAAGCCTAATGAGAAAGGCCAGTAAGCCCAGCCCAATAATGGACCCGACGACCGGGTGGTGACATAAGGCAGTCGCTCGTAGACAAGAAAGGAGGACCGCCTAACATAAAGCAGTGATGGAGACAGGTTAAGATCGATTTGGATCTACCTCGGTACAAACAAGACCAAGCATGAATTACCGTCGTAGGCGGTTCTGTACGAAATCAAGTAGGTTTAGGGTGCCTGACATGGCATTGAATGCCCTGAACCCATCTCTGTTGAGTATAAATAACCCCATGGGAGTATTGATGGTAAACTCAACTACTCTCTCTATCTCTCTAAACCTAACACATTCTCTATTCTCTCTCTAACTTAATCTTCAGAGGGTGTCCTGGGAAACCGCCCACGGAACCTTGTTTCATAGGGTTCAGGAGTATGTTGCCTCACCAAGAAAAAATGACTCGCTCGTGCTGTACACAAAACGCCTAGTACTTTCTAGACTCAAATAATTTGGCACCCACCGTGGGGCATAGAGTGAAGTACTGAAGAAATAGTGGACGAGAGCTTCGGAACCCCTGTTAAAGGTGTGATCGAACGAGAGAGAATTCGCGCGCTTGAAATGACAACCGTAGAGTAGGAAATGGAGATAGAAGACCGCGTAGAAGATCAGGGGCTGCAGATCTCCAACATACAGGAAAGCTTGAGTCATATCCTTGCCATGCTCAAAGTAAAAGACGCGTCAGAAAGCTCAAAAAGGCAGAAGGGCAAAAACAAGAGTTCATGTTGGCGATGCTATGACATAATGGCGATAAAGGAGGAAGGCAGTGATTGGCAGTCACCGCTTTTGATTATTTGTAGAACGACACAGTTCCCGGCGATGCTACCCAAGAAATAGCGCTAAGGAAAAAGGCGGTCCATTACACACTGATGGAGGTGAAGCTGTGCAAAAGATCTTTCTCAAACACATATCTGAAGTGCATGGGAACAAGCAAAGCAAAGTGAATGGTCAAGGAAATACACCAGGGAACATTCACTTCACACTCTGGACAAGGAAGCCTAGAGAGAAACATATTACTGCAAGGCTACTACTAGCCAACAGTGAGGAAGGATGCAATGGAGACGGTTCCGGGGTGCCACGAGTGTCAAGTGCATGCCAGCAAATAACATATGCACAGTGAGGAACTAAACAACATAACAGGACCATGGCCATTTGCGTAGTGGGGGTTAGATCTCCTAGGACCATTCCCCACTGCTCCTCTGGGAATGAAATACCTGGTGGTTGTTGTAGAATACTTCACGAAGTGGATAGAAGCTTAACCGCTCGACAAACTCACCAGTGCCAAAATTCAGAAAATCATGTTCAACAACATAATGATCAGGTTTGGGACGCCTAATACCATCATCACTAACCATGGCACACAGATTGACTACAGGCCGTTCGAGAATTTTGGTGCAAGAAACCGCATTATCTGCAAAATGGCCTCACTCACGTTTCCCTAAACCAATGGGCATGTCGAGTCATCAAACAAACTGATCTTACGAGGGCTGAAGAGAAGAATCAAGGAAGCTAAAAGATGGTGGATCGCAGAGATGCCGCATGTACTTTGGGCGCACCGCACAAATTACAAAAGAGCAACTAGAGAAACGTCGTTCACTTTGACGTACGGCTCTGAAGCTCTCTCACCAGAGGAGCTGGCCCTTTCGTCCCTGAGGGTTGAAACCTAGAACTAGGAGGAGAATCAGAGGAAGCTTCTTCATAAATTGGACATGATTGTACATGGGCGCTGGGTCGTGCTTGGGACGGCACGACACGGACACGCTTCAGCCCCATTTATTTCGTACCGTGCTTGGCACGGCCCGCCAGTTTTCGTGTCGTGCCATGAAAGCCTATTTGTTAACTTTGCTAGGCCTGGCCCAGGCCCGAGCACGGTTCAAATCGTGCCGTGCCTATTCGTGTTCGTGCCATGCTCGTATTCGTGTTTAATGAAAAGGACGAAAACAAAAGAGAGAATGAAAAAGAAGGTGAAAATTGGACGGGGGAAGATAGTATTAACCGATAATGTTTGAGAAAAGTAACAAATAAGGGGGAAAGAAATTGGAAGTATAGCGAGTGTGATTTGGCTTTGTTTAATTCTTTGTCCATATTTACTTATGTTAGTAATTACGTATATATCTTTATGACACTTCTAACAACAATAAATAATTATTTTCTACTTGTGTTTTGTAATATTTTAACCTATAATTATTTTTATATTTATTTGCTATCAAAAAATTTATTTTCATGCCATGTTCGTTCTTATACTCAATAAAGTCTCGAAAATATTAGGCCCGACACGGCCCAGTTATATACCGCGCCGTGTCCGTGCTCGTGCCTGTGCCCATGAAGTTTATGCCCGGCACGACCCATAAATTATTCGTGCTCGTGCCGGGTTGGCCCATTTATTTCGTGCCCGTGCTCTAACCGTGTCGTGCCATGCTAGCCCGTGGGCGGCACGGCCCGGTGCCCACATACAGACATGATCGAAACATGGCGAGATGCAGCATTAGTTCGAACCATCAAAGAGAAGTCCAAGGTCATAAAGGCATACAAAAGAAGGGTGAAGCCACGACCGCTAGAAGAAGGCGACATGGTTCTGAAATGGAATTTTGAGCAAAAGGTAGGACACAACAAGCTGGCCGCCATATGGGAATGACCATTTCTCGTAAGAGAGAAAATAGGCCTCGAAACATACGAGCTTGCCACAATGGTAGGGAAGTCAGTGTCCAAGACATGAAATGCTATTCATCTGAAGAAGTACTTTGCAGAGTAGAGCAAAGATAAACTGCAAGGCTACCATGCATTTTGAATGATCGTAACCTCGATCACAGCCTATAGTGTATTTTGTCTACAATCTATTTATAACTATGATAGTTCAAGCGCCTCTGAGCATGCAGCATGTTTAAGAAATTCTTGGCAAGGCCAGCCGCCCCCTAGCAATTTAAGTTATAAATTCACAATTCAAATTTCTCTAGAGCGATACGCGTAAAATTATCTTTGCAATTTCAACCACCTCCGGGTATTAAGCTAAGAATTATTGGCAATTCAAACCGCTCCAGAGCGATAAGCTTCAAATTATCTTTGCAAATTCAATCACCTCCGGGTGATAAGAGTTATTCGCAATACGAACCGCCCCAAAGCGATAAGCTTAAAATTATCTACAATTCCTACCACCTCCAGATGATATATTAAGAACTTTTCACATCTCAGACCGCCCCCGACCGATATGTTATAAATTGTCCTCATAATTTCAACCTCCCTCGAGCGATAAGATAGAAACTGTCCTTACAATTTCAATCGCCTCCAAGTGATAAGCTAGACGTTGCCGCAATCTGAACAGCCCGCGAGTGACAATCTCACCAATTTTAAGCCGTACCAGGCGAACGCATAGCCAAAATCTTAAACTCAATCGAAACCAATCTCGCGCAGTTAAGATAAAGCGACAAGAAAATTAGGATAAGCTGGAAAAGAACATCATCATTACAAAATAAAAATTGTCTTAAGCTCCCTCACAAGAGCAATGAAATATCAAACGAAGATAGAGGAAAAGGATCACTAAGCTGAACCGCCACCCGCTGCAGGTGGCTAGTCAACGTCAACTCCAGTGTTGCCCGTTGAAGGGGCGGCAAGTTCGGAGTTCATGTCAGCGTCGCTCCAAAATTCCATGACGTCCTAGATAGCATTAGCATCCCCAACAACTCCGGGGTAATCACGACGAAACCATTGACGAATTGAGGAAATAATGTCCTTCAGCAACTTCTTATACTACGCTTCATCTTCCTTCATGAATTAGTCAGACTCAAGGAAAGTAACCTTGATGACCTCAACTGTATTGAGCAGCTCAGCTTAGTGGTTGTCCTCCATCAATGTCATGTCTTTTTCAACTTGTGCACTTCATCTCTCAAGCTTTTCTCACACTCGGCGGCCTCCAAGGACTCTTTTCAGAAGTGCTTAGTATCTTCCTTGGCCTGTTTCAGCTCCTCCCGCACAACAGCCAACTCGGCATCCTTCTTGGTATCAGCGGCCTCGTGGTCCTTGCTTAGTTCCTCCTGTAACTCCTGATTTGATCCCTCATGTCCCTCTTTAAGTTGGTGTTCAAGTTGAAGGATCTTGGTGTTGCGGTCGTCCAAGTCACTCTGAAGGCAGTCGTACACCATTTGGTTTCTCCCAAATTGAGTATGCAAGAATAGCCAAGTTAGAGGAAAGTAACCACAAGGTACTCACATCGTAGAAATCATGCTTACCGCAAACAAGCAATGCGCGGTTGCGCCGGCCAAGTGTCTTGTGTCAGACTTGCGGACAAGAGTACCCGCAACTCGGGTATAATCACTGAAGATCGTAAACTCCTCAGAAACGACGTGTAAAGCACGTTTGGCCGCATCATGGGACACAGTTGCATTGGGAGAAAATGCCACAGTCGCTGCAAGCTCCGTCATATTTTGCTTATTTTATTTGTATAGGCAGCAAGGGGATCTAAAGGAGTGTTGTCTACAAGGAAGCCTTTCATCCTTGATTGATTTCCCGAGGACCGCTTATATGTAAGAGCCGCAATCTCCAGTGACCGCTTCCCATACCTGTGAATGGAACCCACCTCAACAAACTTGAGCTCCCCGGAATGACTCACAACCAGCTGTGTCTGAGCAGAAGGGAGAGGGACAATAGTCCGAGTCTCTGCGGGATCGACAGGAAGTGAAGCAACAGCGGCCGCAGAGGACACGGTGCCTGGCTTCGGCGGCCATGCCGTAGAAGCATACCATTGAATTCCTGCGAAAACAACCCATAAGTAAAAGCATGAGAGAACTTCGTAAAAATAACCATGGAAGAATTAACTGACAGTGAAAGCGCCAAACTATATCAGCGCGTTATCATGCCCTTTAGGAGGAAGAAGAAATTGGACGGTTGAAATTATTCGTTTGAGGAGGTCTTTGAAGGGTGCGAGAGAGTCAAGATTGGTGTTCCAATCCTCCTTATCGCAAACCGAGAATCCATTCGGCGACTCCACGTCACCAGAATACCACTTCCAAGTAGGGTGGGCAAAGAAATATTCTTTAAACCATAGAAAAAGCCCACTCTAGTTTCCCTCCTGTAGTATGACCAGCAGTTGTCTGAACCACGCATAATATACAAGAGGTTAAAGGCATCAAACAAAGGCTCCACCTCCATTCTTTTACAACCCGCCTGAAAGGTTATGGAATGAAAAATAATATCAAGAAAGCGCCTTAGCGTGCAGTTGAGATGCTGAAGAGTTCTAGTCAATTTGGGGTCAAGTGGGAATTGAAAAACCATCCTGATATGCTCCACATGAATATGAATCCACCCCCTTGAACAAGAAGCAGATCGCCCGACCGAAGAAGGAGCGGCGCATTCCCACTAAGGCGGAAGACCGTGATTCTTTAATTGACGGAAGACTTGAGAAGGCCGATAGGAAGCTTCGAACGGTGGCTCCTTCTTGAAAACATGCGAGGGTATTTCTTCCCCCTCCCACATGTCCTCGTGCAAATGTACGCGGTATGTGTCGTCAGCAACCGCCTAGAATGGCGTTACAGGTTGTCCCGAAGAAATAGTAAAAGGGGAGTCGGCCGCAAATTCGCCAAACTTTGTGTGGTTGCTGTGCACTTCATTAGTGCCTTCCAACGACAGTGTGATCACGAGAACGTCATAAGAAGACTCGCAGTCCATCGCAGAAGAGTCAAAGTCCAACAGGTTGTCGCCAACCATCGAACACGCCCCTCACAATGCTACGAAAGTTCCAGTATCGGTTAATGCATTCCCATCTAACCCTAAAAGGTCAAAGTTAGGACCGCATAGACTCTCGATCCCTAGAACGCCAAAATTCTAGTAACCGCATACAAGGAAAATATTCTCCAAATCGCATTCTATATCAGGGATACCAAAAGGTGAAAAACTTTCATGCATACCTTGGGCAACTATTTTAGCCTCGACAATACGACTGCTAGAAAGAGGGAAAAATGAAACTGTTGGCAGGGTTCGAAATTCAAATTTCGCCAAGTGGATAATGAAAGAGGGGAAAATGAAATGCCCAAATCGTGGGCGGCTGAAGTCAGTAGGAACTGCATCCCTTGAAGGGTCTTCTTAGTTTCTCAAGCGGCCAGGGGCAAGGTATGGGGTGAGGTTAATTGAAAAAAGAATCGCTCCACACGATAGGAATAAAATCATAGCCGCCAAATTAAAATCCGAAGATTTTCCTTCCTAAGGGGCTATTGATGGGCTCACATGGTTGAGCAGAATCAGGCCCGAAGCCCAAGGAGGAAGGTCTATAAGCCTAGCCCAATAAGGGAGCTGACAGGCGGGTGGTGACGTTAGGCGGTCGCTCGTAGACAAGTCAGGAGGACCGCCTGACATAAAGCAGTGATGGAGACAGGTTAACATCGATTAGGATCTCTATCGGTACTAACTAGACCAAGCATTAATTATTGCCGTAGGCGATTCTGTATGAAATAGAGTAGCTTTAGGTGCCTGACATGGCATTTAATGCCTCTACTTGAGTGTAAATACCCCATGAGAACATTGATGATAAACTCAACCACTCGCTCTCTCTCTATAACTAACACATTCTCTATTCTCTCTCTCACTCAATCTTCGGAGGGTGTCCTGGGCGACCGCCCACGGACACTTGTTTTGCAGGGTTCGGAAGTGCATTCCCTCACCAAAAACAGACGCCTCGCTCGTGCTCTACACAAACCGCCTAGTACTTTCTAGGCTCAACAGAGCCTCTTCCCGATTTTGTGTGGAATTTGCACGACAATTCCATCCTATCCTTTACTTTTGAGTTATTGAGAGAAAATACCAGAAAATTCGCAAAATATCAAAGCTGCGCGACTTTGACAAAAGAACCCAACCTTTCACGAGCTCAGACTCTTATAATGGGGAAAAGGGGAAACTTGAGAAAGACAAAGAAGAAAATTGACTCTTCCAGGATGAAGGGGCCGACGACAAGAGGGAAGAGAGGGAGAGGGATTTCGGTTGATTTGAGAGAGATATATATTGGTTTAGGGAATAATAGTTCTGTAATTGCTTCATGAGAAAAAAGCTTACTAACTACAGAATATTTAGTCGGTAAGAGTCGTTGATTGCTGGAAATTCTAAAGTAAAACGGTTAAAGAGAGGAAGGGAATAATAGATTATGGGAAAAGAATAATTGTTGCCTCTAATATAAGTTTTTTCAAATCAGGAGAGAGAGAGCAAGTGGTTAGCAAAAATTGGGGGCTCTGAACGCTAAAGACCATCAATTGACAGGCACCTCAGCTAGGTTGGGATTGTCTCAACATAAACGGATCAGTAATCCATTTGAACACGACGGCAGGAGGCATCTTGATGAGAGACAATAGTAGTTTCATTACAACTTCCACCATGAACCTTGGGGGGGGGGGGGGTTCAGTCTCCATGAAGAGTTAGTCGGGATTGGGAAGGGACTAAGGCTCCCTTCGGAGGCAGGTGATCGAAAAGTGATTCTACTAACGGACTCGATCGACTACAACTAAGGCTCTCGTAGATTTTACTACACCTCAACATTTCCACTATACGAGAGTCCCAGAGATACGAATTTTGCTAGCAATGGGATTGGCAGGTTCCCATCATGCATTTTTGCAAGGAAGCAAATGTTATTGTTGACTATCTTGTTGACCTAGGGCATCATTCAATATCGTATCATTGCAACACCAGATAATGTTCTATCCTACTAGTTGTACCACGATACTATAGACGTTCAAACTAACCATTTCGTGTCGTTATTAAATATAAATTGGGGCACTATTTAAGCGTCTTGTTTCTAAAAAACTAAAGAATAAGAGGATCACAAGGAGTCATGACAATTCAAATAGGCGACAATAGCAAAGGCTTTATTTCAAATTCCTTATATATTTTTAATATTTTAAAGATTTGATTTATTATTATGATAAATTATTTCACTACCACCTCAACAACTACATTAATTATACTTCAATAATTTATTAGTTATAAATTAAATTCTAAAACTAAACTAATTGGTCCAACTCCAATCCTTATATTATTATCGTACAAATGAGAAACCAAATGAAAGCTAACCGAAATGGGAAAACAACAGCAAGAGCAACAATGAAATATCGTCTAATCGCCTGTTCACATAACCATAAAAACATTTGTCATGCACTCCCGTGGTTACACAAAGCTTTAAGTGGCTCAGCTTTAGGCATAACTATCCCAAGTCGTTCCTTCATATCTAACAGCCCTTCACCGATCCTTTCCCACTCAAAGCATTGTATCAAAGCTCCCAAAGCTGCACTCACCACACGGTTCGCCAGCCCGGACCCAGGGCAGGACCTTCTTCCCACACCGAATGGCAAAAATTTGTAACCATCTGATTCCACTCCTATAATATGTCTCTCAGGCCAAAATCTTGTAGGGTCTTCCCAATTAAGGGGTCCCTATGAATTGCCCATGCATTAACAATAACATGGTCCGTTCGGGATAGGATAACCTCCAATGATACAATCCTCCTAAAGACTGGTGTGGCATTAAAAGTGGGCCCTGGTGGATAGAGCCGTAATGTCTCGTTAATGATACCCTGGAGGTACGGAAGTTTAGTGTAGTCGGATTCTTGTACTAGCCGATGTGGCCAATTACAATGGTCTAGTTCAGCTCTTGCCTTGGTAAGTATCTCGGATGATTTAGTAGGAGTGACATCGCCCACTCTATTGTGCCTGCTGAGGTATCTGTGCCGGCTAATATCATCGTCTACAAATACAAAAGATAAATATCATCGTCTACATATATTCTAAAATTACTGGTGAACCATAGTGGGTAATACAAATATAATTAAGATGTGTACAAATCCTACATATTTCTACTCGGAGTAGTAAACATTCATTTCTTCCAACGTGCCTGGAGCCTGGTTACACCACCTAATTCCGCCAGTATCCCCACACAGCTAATTTCCAGACTCTTCAACTCCCAAGAATTCTCTCCATTATTTGATTTTTAGCATGGTCTTGGAACTTGGAAGGATTGAAATTTTTTATTCAAAATATATTTTTTTTTTTAAAATGCTAAATGGGTGTATGTGCTTGGTTTTTAAACTACACGAGATTGGGCTAGAGTCCAAATAGACTAATGTAGATATTACTTTGCAAATAACAGTTAATGCAATTTTCCTGTAAAAAGGCAACTAAAATTAAAACTAAAGTTGGAAAATATCAATTGTAGGCCAAATGAAATTGAACTTATTCTCAAGGGAAAAAAGAGTGACAAGAGTGAAGAAGACTTGATAAAAAAACAAGAATTGACAATGCTTTTTATAGTAGCATTTGAATGTGATATTTGCAATTTGGACTTTCGAATACTCAGATATTTGTTTGGATGATAAGTAAATATGACATTTTAATTTATCCAAATACCTGGGGTGAATTTTTCCCCAAAATTTGTAGATTTTTTCTTATAATAAAAAATATGTAAAACTAAGAGCACTACAAACTCATTCCACCTCGATAAATTTTTTCAAAATTCGAGTTAATAAAGAAGGTGGTACCAAGTGATAACAGGGTGTTAACAAGTGGTATGTGTGGTATGAAATTTTCTTAGATTCATGAAATATATTGAAAATTAATGTGGTTTTATAGATCATAACGATCTCGTTCCATATGTAAATTTTTGTGAAATCCAAATTAAAACGAAGAATATAAATCGATTAAAAAAAGTAGGGAAAATGAAGAAAAAAACTCATTAATTCTTTGGCCTACTTAAAACTAAGTGTCAAGATCTGATTATGCAAGTCTGCATAACCAACCGTGTCCTGGCCTAGATTATACAACAAGAGAAAAAGAACAATTCAGCAATTACTGTATCCATGAAAAGGTAAAATAATAATAACAGGCAAGTAATTACTCACCATAATCTGGCCTTTGATGATCTCATCGGTGTAGACTTGAGGTTCAGCTTCCTGCAAATTCAACATAGTATCGATCATCGTCTTCTCATTGCTGCCTTCCCTCTCTCCATAACTCCTCCGGTGCTCCTCAATCAAACGTTGGAAGAACTCGTCGGTCCATTTGTGAGCGGCCCACATCCTTCCCTCAAGCCCACTGAAATCGACCCACCTCAGCACCGGCAGGAAATCCACCGGATTCGTCGTGCCGCTCAGATCAAACGACTCCCTTATCAACTTCTTGAACCTCTGCCCTTCGTCATCGTGACCCACTTCGCCGGCGCCCGTCCCAAAATATCTCTTTCCGGCGACCATCCTCATCACGATGTTCATCGACAACCCCATCAGCCTCGACCGCATTTCGACCTCGCGAAAGCCGGAACCCGTGTAGACCAGCCCGTTGACCAGGCGCTGGACCTCGTCTTGGCGGACGTGGAGGAAGGAGTTGAGGCGGGCGGTGGAGAGGAGCTCGACGGTGGAGAGGCGGCGGAGGTTGCGCCAGTGGGGCCCGTACGGCGTGTGTCCCAAGGCGGTGCAGTTGTAGCCGATGATTTTCCAGCCGAGTAAACCGTGCGGCCGGTCGGCGAAGACGGCGCCGTTTTTGTTGAGGCATTCGTCGGCTAGAGCTGGGGATGACACGACGATGGCGCGTCGGACGCCGAGAGTGAGGGAGAAGATGGGGCCGTACTTGTGGGAGAGGGTTTGTAGAGTTCGGTGGATTGGTTCCTTGAGGAGATGGAGGTGGCCGATGAACGGGAGTGAAGGAGGGCTAGGTGGGAGGCTAGTTTGGTCATTTCGTTTGTTTTTGGATGAGATTAGGAGCTTGGAAATTATGAGGGCGAAGAGAATGGCTGGGAGGAAGTAGAGAGCTATAGTTTGGTCCATTGTGTGGCTAGAGAAGTGTAGACTGTAGAGTGGGCAGAATTGAGGTTAGTGTGTGTGATACTACTCATATGCGTTTTTATAAGGGAAAAGGTATGAAAAGTTTAGTAAGTAGTATATGATATTGAAACATAAATGAACATTTTTTTTAGAAATTTGAGTTATTGAGATTAATTTTTTTATATAATATCAAAGTATTATGTAATTGATATGTTTTCTGATTTTTTATATCACATTAACTCAAATTAATGAGATCGAGGTTCAACATTTGTTGGATAATCGTTGATTAACCGGTATTGAAAACTTGTCATACGTCAATGTTTGACTTGAATAAGAAGAAAGAACTCAAGATTAAGAATAATAAAAAAATTCAAAGAGTAGGTGGCTGTAAGGAGTAGGGTTGAATTTGTGCAAATTTTAAACTCATATATGATAACTTTTATCCGAGGGAATATAGTACTCTTAAAAATTTATGTGTTTCGAACCAATTTGTTCGTGACAGAAAGTCATATACAATTAAGTTGGAGATAATAAGTTTTTAACAAAGTAACTTTCCATGTTGATGTTTACATAATTGTTGTCAAGTAGTGTAAGGTTCAGCTTGAGCTTCGTTTGATGTAAGGCAATGAGCTTCACGTCAAAGGGTATCGACGGCTTTGCCTGGCCTGGATAGTGATTCCCCTTGGAATGGACGTTCGATGGGTACACGTACATTAGTAAAATTGGCGCCGGCTGTCCTGGGCTGGGATTGATTCTTCCGCCATATTTTCGCGTAACATTGGCCATAGATACATAGAGGTGTCAATCGGAAGGTTCAAGCAGGTTCAATCAGATTGCAAGTTAGTCCAGTTTTGGGTTTGTCGGTTTTTGGGTTCAATCGGGTTGCAGATTGTTGGGTTGGGGTTTATGGATTTTGGGTTCAATCGAGTTGCGGGCAAATCGGATTGCGGATTTATCGAGTTTCGAGTAGGGCGGATTGCGGGAAAAAAAGGGTTGCTCGTTATTCGGTTTAGCGCACCGAATTACTTACTCATTACTCGCTAACATGATATGAGCTTGAATTGCTTCCATTACAAGCTCGAATTGTTTGTTCAAGAAGTTAAGCCAACTCATTTGCGCAACCTGAGTTTTTGGCTAAGTGTTATGACGAGTTCGGGTAGCCTACTTTGCGAGCTCGAATCTTCCGATTGGGTTGGTATAAATGAGAGTTCAAGGTGTTGGTTTGAACATGAGAACTTCCTTGTTAATATGGCGTATGTTTCGGGCTTATACAAGGCCATTAAAGCTGTGTTTCAAGGCGTCAAAGTAGCTACCTTAAAACTGGCAAACTGCCAGAATTTGGCTAAGTCTGAAGGCAGGTTCAGGAAGGTCACTTTGGAGCTCTATTCCGAGCAGATGGAGTCGATTCAAGGGAGGTTCTTTGCACTACATGAAATTAAGTATTTTTTTCTACAGAGGAAAGGAATTGGATAAGAAGATGGACGCTTGGAGGGATGTGAACGAGGGGCTTAAAGATGCTATGGACCCTGTTTTGGAGGTAGTTTACTTAAGTTAGAAGAAAGAGGATTATAGAAGAGTTGGAAGTCCTTTTTAGTTTGGGAATTGTTACCTTAGCTGTAGTATAGTTAATTGTCTTTCCTTGTTCGTTTTGTAGTTGATTTAGGTTTAAGTTTGTCTATTTAAAGGCCTAGAACTCCATTGTAATAGTTAGACGTTAATCAATTAAGAACTTGTTCATTGAGTTTTTAACTCGTGGATTGTCCTTGTTGCTTGGTTCAAATCGCCAACAACGAGCGAGCCTTGTATCGATTGAGTCATCACCTCAATCGTGGTCGGGTTGCTACCTTGAATTCGGTTGAGCCTCTTCCCCGCGCGTGGTGTTGAAGTTGCACTCCGAACCATCCTTCTATTCCCCTGTTACTCTGTTTTCTGGCTTAGAAATCTGATTTCCAGGCTGTGTTTTACAAGCTTCTCGGTTTGGGGCTTAACAAGTGGTATCTCGAGCCTGGTTCTACTCAGCGGCGTCTTAAGTAGTGGTGGGAACGACGACGTTGTCAACAGAAGGCGGCGCCGGCACTGAACGGTGGACCAGATCGAAGGGTCCCGTGTCAGCTGATCCTGCTGCTGTCGTGCGACCAGAACAAAGGAAGAAGAAGAAATCTGCAACAGGGGCTGGGATTGACGGCGATCCAACCATGGCGGAGGAGGCCAACATCGCGGCGATGCTTCGTACAATCCTGGCGCAGCAAAATACGGCGATTTAGACCCAATTCGATAACCTAAATCAACAGCTGGCCGAACTAAGAGCCACGGTAAATGCCCCTGTGATACAGAGGAACGTTGCAGGACAGGTGCTTGTTCCCGAACAGAATCGAGCTCATGGAGATGAAGAATTTCAACCACCCGAAGCAAGGCAGGGGAACCAAGTCGTCGATTTGAGAGGTATTAAATTACAAGTCCCATCGTTCTCGGGCACAAACAATGCCTCGGTGTATCTCGATTGGGAAAGAAAGATCATGCTTTTCTTTCAATGCGGCGATTACAGCGAAGCCCAGAAAGTACTTCTTGCGACGTACGAATTCACCGACTATGCCGCACAGTGGTGGGAGAAAACCCAGCTCCGCCGTCGTAGGAATTTACAACCTGAAGTCACAACTTGGACGGAGCTGAGAGGTTTGCTGCGAGAACGTTTTGTCCCGGGATACTATCAACGCGATCTGTTTGAGTCTCTGCAGCAGTTACGGCAGGGTTCAAAATCCATTGACGAGTACTATCGAGAGCTTGAGCTCCTCATGATGCGTGCTGATGTCCGGGAAGATAAAGACGCCACTATTGCACGGTTCCTTCATGGGATGAATCGCGAAATTAAACTCGAAGTTGAGCTGCGACCCTTCGTCGAGCTGGAAGAAGTTGTACACCTTGCAATTAAGGTGGAACGGCAGCAACGAGCAAGTGCGGGGAGGAGGTACTCGAAGACTAATTCAGAGCACGTTCCTGTGATGAATTCTGAGCCGGCCAGATTGGAAGGGCCCAAATCTACACCCCGCACTACTGTTCCGACGAATCACGAGAAGCCGGGAGGATCGACAAGCAACATACAATGTTTTAAGTGTTTCGGCAGAGGCCACAAGGCCAACCAGTGCCCAAACAAGAAGGCCCTGGTGCTACGCAATGGAGAGTACGTGACCGAAGATGAAGCAGAGGAAGATGGCAGCGAAGGGAGTGAGTCTGATCCCGAAGTCGATGAATCAATTGAAGTCGAAGTCCCTCCTACGGGAAAATTTCTCGGAGTAAATCGTCGAGCACTCACTTTGGATTCTCTGGCCAGCGAAGAACAACGAGATAATATTTTCCACACCCGTTGTACAATTGAAGGGAAGTTATTGTCCGTTGTAATTGACGGAGGTAGCTGCACAAACGTCATCAGCCTTGATGCCGTTAAGAAGCTCGGGCTAGCAACGATTAAACACTCCCAACCATACAGCTTGCATTGGTTAAACGAGTACGGGACGTTGAAAGTGAACAAACAAGCGAAAGTTCACTTCAAAATCGGTGAGTACGAGGATGAATTATGGTGCGATGTAGCTCCGATGCAAGCCGCACACCTCTTGTTAGGGCGTCCTTGGCAGTACGATCGTGGGGTCGTTCATGATGGCCGAGGTAATTCATATAGATTCAAGCATCGCGAGCGTAATTTTCTACTCAAACCGTTAACCCCGGCAGAGGTCCGAATTGATCAGCAACAAATGATGGCGAGCCGGGGCCGAGACACCGAGGGAAAAGCTCAATCTCAAGCTGAGCAGCGTGTTGAAAATGGGCTAACAACGCGGAGGTTCATGCTCACTGCCTTCAGCAAGCGAAATTCTCACCCGCTGCCAGAGCGTCAACGACTCTGTTTTGTGTCGACCGAGCAGAGTAGGAGAGAGGGGCAATGGGCTGGAGCTGCTCGCGCAACGTCGAGTGTTCCCAATGCCGTCGACACCTTCCAGGAGGACCCTAAATTCTTCTCCCATTGCAGGTTCGACGCGAACATACTCCAATTGCACGAATCAATTCGAGTTCATCTACCTCTGAACTCGCAGGAACAAGGCAGCAAAACCGTTAAATGGGGTGGGGCGACTGGGCGTGATTCGACGTCAAAGGGCACTGCAAAACTACTTCGAGATGTCCAAGGTAGCTGTAAGAATGCTCGCATTGGAGCGGGAATACTTGAGATTAAAACCCCCAATTTTGGATTGCATCTTCTGGGAAATGTGATTTTGAAGGTGTGCGTTGGCGGGAATGGTCAAGGCACTGGGTCGCTACGAACGGCGGCGAATCGGGGCCCGACACCGGTTCAGGAAGTCGATTGGAGGTGTGGCCAACCTCGTGGGAGCACTGAATTGGAATGGCAAGACCTGAATCGAAAAGCCCCAATTCAGCAGCTCAAGAACACTGTTTTCGAACTGCAGAAAAGGGAGTTTGGAATGCCATCTTTTGACCCGATTTGGACTGAATTTTGTGTAGGTTTCGAGAAGAAGAAAGAACCAGCTTTGAGGGCAAAGCTTTTTGAAGAGGGGGAGCCTGATATGAGCTTGAATTGCTTCCATTACAAGCTCGAATTGTTTGTTCAAGAAGTTAAGCCAACTCATTTGCGCAACCTGAGTTTTTGGCTAAGTGTTATGACGAGTTCGGGTAGCCTACTTTGCGAGCTCGAATCTTCCGATTGGGTTGGTATAAATGAGAGTTCAAGGTGTTGGTTTGAACATGAGAACTTCCTTGTTAATATGGCGTATGTTTCGGGCTTATACAAGGCCATTAAAGCTGTGTTTCAAGGCGTCAAAGTAGCTACCTTAAAACTGGCAAACTGCCAGAATTTGGCTAAGTCTGAAGGCAGGTTCAGGAAGGTCACTTTGGAGCTCTATTCCGAGCAGATGGAGTCGATTCAAGGGAGGTTCTTTGCACTACATGAAATTAAGTATTTTTTTCTACAGAGGAAGGAATTGGATAAGAAGATGGACGCTTGGAGGGATGTGAAACGAGGGGCTTAAAGATGCTATGGACCCTGTTTTGGAGGCAGTTTACTTAAGTTAGAAGAAAGAGGATTATAGACGAGTTGAAAGTCCTTTTTAGTTTGGGAATTGTTACCTTAGCTGTAGTAATAGTTAATTGTCTTTCCTTGTTCGTTTTGTAGTTGATTTAGGTTTAAGTTTGTCTATTTAAAGGCCTAGAACTCCATTGTAATAGTTAGACGTTAATCAATTAAGAACTTGTTCATTGAGTTTTTAACTCGTGGATTGTCCTTGTTGCTTGGTTCAATCGCCAACAACGAGCGAGCCTTGTATCGATTGAGTCATCACCCTCAATCGTGGTCGGGTTGCTACCCTTGAATTCGGTGAGCCTCTTCCCCGCGCGTGGTGTTGAAGTTGCACTCCGAACCATCCTTCTATTCCCCTGTTACTCTGTTTTCTGGCTTAGAAAACTGATTTCCAGGCTGTGTTTAACAAGCTTCTCGGTTTGGGGCTTATCAAAACATCACTCTAAAAGCAAAGAAGAAAAATAGTTTTTTCCTATCACAACATTTCTGGGCGGCATATAGATTAAACAAACGAAAATTGGACGGCAATAGAAATCAATCCAAACAAAAATTGTCGGCTTTTTACAGCGGGAAGGAAGAATTGGACGACAATATATATCAAGCAAAAAGAAAATTTGGCGGAATTTTGAAATGAGAAGGAAAATTGAGCAACAAAAAATACATGAATTATATATATTTAAATTACAGACTTATTTCTCTGATGTGTGAAGTATAAACTTTTTGTTAAAAAAAATGTGAATTAAGGTTCATTGCAACATTTGCAAGCGTTGTCAATCAATCATTATAATTTATTTTCTTATGCAAAATCTAGACAAGACACAAAGTTATAAACAATAGTTTATGGGAGATGGGAATCGGGTTTAATAAGCAATGAATTGAAATGTTGGTGCATCGAATTGGGGGAAATTTTCCCTCATTAGATTTTCATTTTGGTAGAGACAAGTTGCAGAGGGAAAGCAAAATGAGAAAACAGAAAGTGGGAAGGGAAACATTCGAGGAGTGGAAAGTTGGGATGAAAATATCAAAATAAGGGAAAAAGTTTCCCACCTAAATGAAAGTGTGGTGGGAGCATTAGCAAATGACTGAAATGAGACTAAAGTTTTCCACCTAAATGTAAAATAATGTGAATTTGAGATAGGATAACTCATTACATGTGTTCAAATCGGCTCTATCAAATTAGTCAAGCCTATAAGACTACAGTAAGGTTGGCTATAGACAATATTTTAGTCACTAAATGTTAAGACTCTTAAACAATCATACATAAACATCTTGATAATCAAATTGATAATTAATTAAACTCCTAAACCATCATATCTAAACAATTTGATAAACTTTCTCTCTTCTTTCTTTTAAAAAAAATTGAAAACACAAGCCGATGGTAAGACAACCCTGTTGGTAAAAGGGCTGGATTTCGAGTTTGGGATGTGACAAGGTCCTAGGTTCGAATCCCAGTACCACCTTCTTAGTGTTCCCGGAGGCATCCTTGGTACAGGAAACGAGGTCTCCGCGATAACGATAGCACAATGCCGGGCACTGCACCGGTACAAAGTCCTTGATGGTTAGTATGCAGGTACCCCCAAGTTTAGTAGACCCCTCTGTCGCTCATGTGGCATGTGGGTTGCTGATGTTCCTGTGTTATCAAATAAAATAAAAATTGAAAACACAAAATTTCCCCTTATTTTTCTTCTTTTTTCGGTTCAATAAAAGCACCAAAACCAAAAACACCAAAATTTCTCACTTTCTTCTCTTCCTATAAACCAAAGTACCAAAACTCCCCTTTCTTTCTTTTCCCAAAAAATTTAAGCACCAACTTTCCCTTTTCTTTTTATTCTCCAAAAGTTCAAAACAGAAAATTTCGCACTTCTTTCTCTTTCCATAAATCAAAAGCACCAAAACTTTCCTTTCTTTTTTTTAACATAATTTCAACTCAATTTCATTTTTTGAACTTTTCTTTATAAAATGAAAAAGTAGTTTTACTTAGGCTTATAGCAAACAAACTTAATTTTGAAAGACTATAAGATAGTAATTTTTTTGGTCAATCGGACGGGTTACGGGTTAGTTCGGTTCAGGCAAATCAGGTTCGAGCCAACCGAGTTACGAATTTAATCAGGTTCGGGTTTATTAGTTGCGGGCTAGTGGAGTTATGGGTTAATCGGATCACGAGTCAATCAGGTTGCGGATCAGGCGGGCTACAAATCATTGAATTTTAGTCAATTCAGATTGCGAGCCGATTAATCGAGCGGGTTGATCAGATCAGATTCTGTTTTGACACATCTAGATTCAGGAACGGAGAGGGGTCTATAATACTATATGGTCCTTAAAATTTCTTACGGGTGGTGCTTGACTTCGGTACGAAGTAGTTGGACTGCCGTCAAGGAATCGGTTTGCAGCTCCACCTTATGAGCGCCTTTCTCCCACACCATCCTCAACCCACACACTATGCCCGCCAGCTCCGCGTGAGTAATGGAGCCACCACCCAAATTGGCCCGACGGTGGAGGAAGGAGTTGAGGCGGGTGGTGGAGAGGAGCTCGACGGTGGATAGGCGGCGGAGGTTGCGCCAGTGGGGCCTGTACGGCATGTGTCCCAAGGCGGTGCAGTTGTAGCCGATGATTTCCCAGCCGAGTAAACCGTGCGGCCGGTCGGCGAAAGACGGCACCGTTTTTGTTGAGGAATTCGTCGGCTAGAGCTGGGGATGACACAACGATGGCGCGTCGGACGCCGAGAGTGAGGGAGAAGATGGGGCCGTACTTGTGGGAGAGGGTTTGTAGAGTTCGGTGGATTGGTTCCTTGAGGAGATGGAGGTGGCCGATGAACAGGAAAGTAGGAGGGCTCGGCGGGGAGTTTTTGCGGCGTCGTTTCGATGTGGAGGAGATCAGTAGGAATACTGAGGTGATGAGTGTTACAGAAGACAATTGTTTTTTTTTATAAGGGTGAAATAATATTAGAAACAAGGAAAGAAACAACAGTATCAGATGGAAAGATCCACCCGGGCAGAAGAAACAACCAAGCCCAGAAAACGAAAACAAAGAACAAAAACAGAGGCAAAACAAAAAGCACAGGGACGACACACGTCGTAAACAAATCACAGGGACACAGTGCAGCCCGAAACAAAAGCAGAACCAGCGACTAGGAGGCAGCATCACTTGGAAGTTGCGTGGGGAATAGCCGCAGCTTCAGATTGAAGAGCCACGCATCTGCAATACTTCTCTCGACCTTATTAGCACAGACCAACCAATCACGCACCAGGCGGGCGATAGCCAAGCAAACATCCCGAGAGGAAGCACTCTCATCCCTGAAGATTCGGACGTTTCGCTCTATCCAGATCCGCCACCAAAAAGCATGAGAAAGACCTTGGAGCACCACTGCTGCGGGTTAGAGGGATTCGGAAACTGCCACCCTCTAATGATCGAGGGGAGATCTCTTGCCGGTTGGGCAAGTTGCACAAACGAACTCATAATCCACCATATTTCGCGGCTGAAGGGGCATAAAATGAACAAATGATCTAGGGACTCTTCATTGCAGCCGCACATAACGCACCTGCTGAGGAAAGCCCAACCCTTCCTCTTCAACGCATCATGCGTGAGAACTTTCCTTTGGTAAGCAATCCATAAGAAGACACATATCTTGAATGGGATCAACGACTGCCACACGATCTTGTGAGGAAAGCTAGTATCACCATTGGACGAGGACTTTAGCAGCTCCCTATACATGGACCCGGGTGAGAAGCCACCAGTCGGAGCGGGATCCCAAAAGACTCTACCAGGACCTGTACAGAGAAAATCAGAAGGTAGGTTGTTAAGAAGCAATAAAAGTCTCACCCTTTCGCTCTCAGCCCCCCCCCCCCCTCTCAAGTTGTGAATAGATGGGAGAACCCAAACAGGATCTCCATCATGATTCTGAACCATGTCCCCAACCCGGCAGTTTGGCTCCATTGCAACAGCAGCAACCCTCGGGAACTCTAAGGCAAGCGGCTTTGATCGACTCTTGATCCAAACGTCGAACCAGAACGAGGTATCCGTACCAGCACCCGGCTCAATATGCGCCCAGTTCCAAAACATCTTATTAAGTTTCATAATCTGAGACCAAGGGCTCACACCCACAGCTCCACGAGGCCTCCCCGGTGACCAAATCGACGCACTATTATGGAACTTCACGTCGATAAGGTTGCGCCACCACGACTCCCTCTCGACGGCAAATCTCCAAAACCACTTACACAGGAGGGCTTGTTTTCTAAACTTCAAATCTGTAATTCCCAGACCTTCAAGACAATTGTTGCTGGTAGGAAGTAGGTAGCCATAATTCCTTCCGTTTTGGTTCTTGCTCTTGTGAGTTGTATTTGTATAGTAGTTTCATTTATCACAGACTAGATGGATAGCGGTAGGTATATATAAATGAATATATGGTCCACGGACGAAAACAATGGGGCAGACGGAGTTGTATTTTTAATATTTATTTATATACTCGTCTCGCATCAATTGTGGGGTCAAGACGGGTAATATGGTATGAGTTGAGTCAATCCATTCTTATATGTTATTTGAAAAACAAATATGTATAATTTTTTTAATGATAAAATAGAGGAAAACACTTTATGAATGAAAAATAGTGATAACAAAATAGGTTATTGAGTCTAACTAGTTGAAAAATCAAGACTAACTAGTTTAAGAAAGTAAGAATGGGACAAGAACGGGGTGGGTTGGGAGATAGAATGGGACAAGAACGCCGCAAAGGGGGTCGGAAGTAGATACTCATGACCTGCCTCATGCTTGCGAGTTGTCAAGAACCAGTTGATCCCAATAACTCGAGTTGTTGGGAGAGGTTCAATCGTGGATCATATACCACAACACTTATACGCCCCCTCAAACGAAAACCACTCACAAGGGCTTGAAGTTTGCATAGGTTCACATACCATGTGCTTAATAAATGAGGGTTACTAGGATTCGAACACAAGACCTCTCGGTCACATAAGGCTCTGATACCATGTCAAGAACCAGTTATCCCAATAACTCGAGTTGTTGGGAGAGGTTCAATCGTGGATCATATACCACAACATTAACACGAGTCAGGTCATGTAATACTTGGCGAGGTGGGTTCAAATTGTCATCACTAGACGAGGATTGGGGAACTCTCTGTAGTCCCCACGCAGAGGGAGGCTTGGAGCTGCGTACGGCTACGAAAAACGAATGAAGCTTATATGGTAAAGATGGCTTGGAGACCGAATCTGAGGCCCTATGGCCGACGGTGGTGGCAGCAAAAATACCTGAAGGATACAAGGCAAGAGCTACTGCCTAAAGTAAATGGTCTTCTTTCGAATATGTGAAGACCCGAGCTCTCTTCCCAGAGATTTCAAAGAGGAAGTTCAAAGCCAAACCTGTAAAGGGGATCGAAAGTAGGGCATGTTCGTTGTGTGAGAAAAATAGAAAGATAGTCTTACGTTCTGGAGAAATTCACACCCATGAGCTCTTACGAATTGTTAACCTCAAGACGCCCCCCCCCCCAGAGCAACTCACTTCAATCAATGAGGAAGTGGGAATTTATCTATTATAGGATAAATGCTTGGCAAACAAAGATGATTCGAACTTATAGAGGACTAATTAGGTCATTTGCACCAATTTGATTCAAGAATATAGTAGTTAAAAAAATATTGTAGATTGAAAATAAAATCTTTTTATTATCGTAAACAATTTTTGGAAAAAAATATTTTTGATGTCTATTTAATTTTTAGTTCATATATTATGTAATTGAGGTTGATATAACAAATACACGAAACTTTAGGGTTATTTGTTGCTATAAGTTCCCAATGCAAGTGTCGAAAGACACTTACTATAATAAACAAAGTGGAGAAACATTTCAGAATCATATAAGTGATGATTATAAATAATATTTTGATGAAATAACTTAACATCTCTCATAATTTGCAAGATAAATATATATTTAAAATTTATCAGAATATGAAAAATACATACTAAAACTTTCATTATAGTTTTTCTTACGTTGGATTAAGTTTATATGAATTTCTTACTATGCCATAGCAAGAACGGTCACATACAAAGGTAACAAAAATATACTACTACAATTAAACGGAGTTACAAATACTCAGCTACGTAATTGTGAAGAAAAAAAATATGAGCCACACGCTGGCTTAATCTACATCTACAAAATAAATAAAAACCAAATAAGAAAATTTGAAATCTCATTTCAAATTTGAAATGAGATTTCAAATTTTCTACATGCAGAGTGAAAGTATGAAAGATATTTTTGGTCTTCACAATTACTTATTTATTTATTTATTAAAAATACACTTACTAGGATTCGAACCATGACCACTTTAAAGAAAAACAAAGATCATAATCAATCACACTAAATATATTTGTTGTATCTTTTTAAATTAAAAACATATAATCGCAGAGAGGAAAAAACACTTCCTCCATTTCAAATTCCCTGCTCCAGGAGCGTTTGTAGGAATGGTAGAATAGGGAGTGTCAATTTTTTTCTTATTCCTCTGTTGAACGGGCCAACTTACCATACACATGCAGATTTAAACGGATTCAGGAGTGTCAATTTTTTTCTTTAAGTCCTTTTATTTCTTCGTGGTGGTAAAATATATATGAAAAAGCAAAAACAATATTTCTTTTTATTGCTAAAAAGAATAAAATTTAACAATAAACTAATGCATGGATTCTAATGGGCTAACCGTTAATCATATAAAATAAAAGAGTTAAATGAGCCTGACCTACACGGGATATGCCCATCAAGTAAAACGAATGAACATCATGGGTTTGCCATTCTAAAACAAGCTATTTTCTCTAGCATAATATATATTATGCTATTATTTTATATCTTAGTGGCTAAAATATATGTATTTTAAAGTTATTCAATGGCTCAACCTCGACCAACCCAATTAGTCCAATTTTTATCATTTCAAATATATATTATGTAATTATTTGATATCATAATGATTAAATTATAGTGTATATTACAGAGAATTGTTAGTAAAAAAGCTAAACAGAAAGATCTATTTGGTTATTTTTAACGTTAAAACGATCCTAAACATTTTCAGTTTCCTTTCGAAATTCTATAGTTTTATTCCCGAATCAGTGATGTGCAAATGACGAATTGCAGTCATTTGTTTTCTTTCATTATTTTTTATTTTCAAATAGAAAGTTTAAAAGTAAAGAATAATTAGAGTTTGGCATGGGTCGGTCAAACAGGCTGAATTTCAAGTTTTGGCTCGTTTTGATCAAGTCTAATTTATAATCACATGGTTCCCTGATACCCGATAAAAATCTCAATCCAAACCAGTTTGCCAGGTGAGTCCGTGTTTACCACCATTTTCTAGGGATACAGGAACGGTGGTTCCTATCCCAAATCGTGTTGTTCATTCTTGATTTCTTTATATTTTATCATGGCTTGGCAAAAAACCAGAAAGCACAATGATGACAAGATGAAAGTTTTATAAAGCAAATTAATCGGCCAACGGGCCGAGTAAAAGCTAGCAACGATTGTGTGATGCTCGTTTCCCGAAAACCGGCGGGATATGCGATTTTTTATTCGATTTTCTGGAATTCATTTTCTATAAAACTTACTCCACCATACCAGAAACAATATTGTTTCACAAAGTAACATGTACTTGATTTTGGTTCATAAGGCTGATTTTTGATTCGTTGCATCATTCATATTTCTTTCCTACTAAAATTCACCATTTTTATCACGTGTTTAGAAAAAACTATACAACAATAAGCTACACACCCTATTATATTATCAAATTTCATATCTCACCTTCCTCCAACCAAATGGCCGGCACGGGACCACACTAGTATTTATCATTAAATTAGGATATGTGTGGTCACATATGAGCTGTCAAACAAATAATTCATCTTAACAAGTTCAAGA